GTGGGAACACAGGCGCCCGCCACAACGCCTGGCCATTTTTTGGTTGCAGCCATCATTGTTGTTTTGGCGGGCCCGGGCTGGGGGTTCAAACCCACCACTTTAGGTGTATGTGGCTGGCGCCTTAGCCGCTTGAGCCACAGGCACCGAGCCATCAACCTCAAACTCTTAAGCTCAGGTGATCCTCCTGCCTCAGTCTCCCAAGTAGCTGGGACTGCAGGCACCCACCACAATGCCCAGCTAGTTTTTCTTCTTTTAGTAGAGATAGGGTCTCACTCTTGCTCAAGGTGGCCTCAAACTTCTGAGCTCAAGGGATCCTCCTGCCTCGGCCTCCCAGAGCACTAGAATCACAGGCATGAGCCACCACTCCTGGGCAGCTTAAATGCCTTCTTGCCAGTAGGAATTTTCTAGACCACCTTCTATGAAAGTGCTGCCTTCAGACTTCCTCCCCAAGCCATCTCTATTCCTTTCTGTCACACTGAACTATATACTGGTGGATTCTAACACTGTCTTATTCATTTTCAATTATTGTCTGTTGAGCTTCCCCTTCTCCCAAGGACATAAATGCCACGAAGGCAGCAAGTATTCTCTGAACTCTCACTGCTGGGTTCCCAGCACCTAGAATGGAGCCTGGCGCACAGTACACAGTTGGTGAGTGTATGAATAAGTGCCATATGCCACTGTCAGCGCCAGCCAAGAATGCCCTAGGGTGTCACAGAATCATTTTAAATTTTTTTTTTTTTGAGGCAGGGTCTCACTCTGTCCCCCAGACTAGAGTGTGGTGGCATCACCATAGCTCACTGCAGCCTCAAACTCCTGGGCTGGAGTAAACCTTCTGCCTTAGCCCCCTGGGTAGATGGGACTACAGGCACCTGCCAGTATCCCTGGCTAATTTTTCTATTTTTTTAGTAGAGATAGGTCTCACTCTTGCTCAAGCCTCAGCCTTCCAAGTAGCTGGGACTACAGATGCCTGCCACAACGCCTGGCTATTTTTTGTTGCAGTTGTCATTGTTGTTTAGCTGACCCAGACCGGGTTCAAACCCACCACCCCTGGGATATGTGGCTGGTGCTGTATACCACTGTGCTACGGGCCCCAAGCCAAGAATCACATTTTTGAAACATTTTTTTGGTCACTATTTCCCTAAGAAAACTCTGAACAGTAATGTAAAATCTCCCTAATTTTTACATGTGGACAACTAAATTGAAAAACAGTTGAGCTGGGTAAGAGACATGGACAGAACCTTCCCTGAAGAAGACAGATGAATGACTAATATATGAAAAAGTGCTCATTGGCCCTAATCATGAGAGACATGCAAATCAAAACCACCCTGAGATATCACCTAACCCCAGTGAGAATAGCCCACATCGCAAAGTCCCCAAGCTGGAGATGCTGGCACAGATGTGGAGAGAAGGAAACACTTTTACACAGTTGGTGGAATGCAAACTAATGCAGGCTCTTTGGAAAGAAGTATGGAGAATCCTCAAGGAGCTAAAAATAAATCTTCCATTTGATCCTACAATCCCATTACTAGGCATCTACCTAGAAGAAAAAGAAATCATTTTATCGTAAGGACATATGCACAAGGTTGTTTATTACAGCTCAAATTACAATCACTAAGATGTGGAAACAATCTAAACGCCCATCAACCAAGGAATGTATTAATAAACTGTGGTATATGTAAACCATGGAATACTATTAAGTCATAAAAAAGATGGAGACCTTACATTTTTTGTATTAATCTGGATGTAAAATATCATAAAAATGGAAAATCAAGTATCTGATATACTCAATACTAATATGAAGCCAGTAGATGATCTAATTCATGCCCACACAAGAGAAAAACTCAAGTCAATTCAAGTTGGGGGAGGGGAAGGAGGAAGGGAGAAGAAGGAAGGAGGGGAGGGGTTGGTGTGCTCACACTTAATAGGTACAATGTAAAGGTGTATGGCACACCTCCTGGGAGTGGGATACAGCTACAACAGGGCCTCTACCTAAAAAATGCAAATATTGTAACCTAATTGTTTGTACACTCACATTAATCTGAAATTAAAAAAAAATAATTAGGGAACAAACAGCAAAAAGACAACCTAATTTAAAAATAGGCAAAGGTTAAAAAAAAAATAGACAAAGGTCCAGGCATAGTGGCTCACTCCTATAATCCCAACACTCTGGGAGGCCAAGGTAGGGGGATTGCTTGTGCTCAAGAGTTCAAAACTAACCTGAACAAGAGTGAGACCCTGTCTCTGTAAATATCTGGGCATTGTGGCAGGCTGTTATAGTCCCAGCTACTTGGGAAGCTAACGCAAGAGGATCACTTGAGCCCTGGAGTTTGAGGTTGCTGTGAGCTATGACATGACAGCACTCTACTGAGGGTGACAAAGTAAGAATCTTTCTCAAAAAAAAAAAAAATGCATAAAGGGCTTGAACGGACATTTCTCCGAAGAAAATATGCAATGGCCAAAAAGAACATGAAAAGATGTCCAGCATCACTATTCATCAGGAAAATGGGACACAGCAGTAACATTGCTAGGTATCTACCCAAGAGAATTAAAACAGGTGTTCAAACAAAAACCTCAGACAAGCCAGGTGCAGTGGCTCACGCCTGTAACCCCAGGATTCTGGGAGGCCGAAGAGGGTGGATTGCCTGAGCTCAGGAGTTTGAAACCAGCCTGAGGCAGAGCAAGATCCCCTCTCTAAAATTAGCTGGGTGTTGTAGTGGGAGCCTGTAGTCCCAGCTACTTGGGAGGCTGAGGCAAGAGAATCACTTAAGCTCAAGAGTTTGAGGTTGCTGTGGACTGTGATGCCATGACATTCTACTGAGGGTGACAAAGTGAGATTCTGTCTTTAAAAAAAGAAAGAATGAAAGAAAAGAAAACAAAGAAACATTGTACACAAATATTTATGGCAGCATTAACATGCTTGCCATTAAGTGGAAACAACCCAGATGTCCTTCAATGGGTGAGTGGGTAAGCGGAATGCAGTCTGCACATGCAACAGGATATTCTTCAGGTGTACGGAGGAGCGAAGCTCTGATGACAGGCCACAGCAGCCACAGCACAGGTGAAGCTTGCTCAGTGAAATAACTAGACACAAAAGGCCACAGATTGTGATCCTTCTAATATGAAATCACCAAATCCACGCAAAAGAAAGCAGAGATCAGTGGTTACCAGGGCCTAGCGAAGGGAATTGACTGCTAATGGGTAGAGGGCTTCCATTTAGGGCGATGGAATGTTCTGAAAATAGTGGCGATGGTTGTGGGCTTGGGTGTCACCTGCCTTCGTGTCCATGGGCCTTGAGGCTGTGCATGGCTGAGCAGCTGATGCCCTGCAGATCCAGGGCTCCCTGAAGCATCTCAAAGCCATTGTCCAGTACAAGGAGGTAATCCAGACGGAGCAGACAAACCTGTATTCGGTGAGTCTGGCCAGAGAGAGGATGGTGGGGGAGCGGGGCAAGGCCATGGTGTGCTTTGGGGCAAGTTCTATGCTGGGGGATGCCAAGAGCTCCATGAGCCCCTGGCCTAGAGCTGAGAACACTGGATTGAGGGGAATCCGGGGAGCTTTCCTAGGACTTCTCTCTTTCCTGGAGCAGTGGCAAAGTTTCCTGGACCTCGCAGAGGGTGTCTCGGACTACAGGCTGGACCAGGTCATTGACTCACAAAAGCCCAATCAGTGCTGTACCTTGGTCTTCAGCCTGTCAGCCACAGGCCCCCCCAAAGCTGTGATGTTAAGCCACGACAATGTGAGTGTCCTACCCAGAGAAGGCTGGGTCCCCAACTCTGTCCCGAGCCAGCCACACAGGTATTTCTGGGGTCTGAGAATGAGGGGGCCTGTGGGACTGGTTTACTGTCTTTCAGATCACCTGGACCACAGAAGCCACTGTCCAGAGCCTTTGTTATAAGTGCCCCCCAGAAGGGCAAGAAGTCCTGGTGAACTACCTCCCACTCGCCTACATGGGGGCCCAAATCTTTGACATGTGGGTCACCATTGAGGTGGCTGGGGCACTCTACTTTGCTCAGCCAGACGGTGTGAAGGTGAGTGGAGCTCCCTGACCCCCACCGGGTGACAAAAGCAGTGTATGAAGGGCTGTCCTGAGTGGAAGTCTCAGTACACACTGGCCCAAACATGCCTGTGGTTCTCAGTTTCCCCACCCAAGAAAGGAAAGAGGTGGAGTGGATAAGAGCTAGTTTTGGAGTAGACGAGGGTGAGAGCTAGTGTTGGAGTAGATGAGGATGAGAGTGACTGTTGGAGTGTAAGAGAGCTGGTGTTGGAGTGATGAGGATGAGAGTTAGACTTGCGGTGGATGAGAGACCTACTATAGGGGTAGATGAGAGCTAGTGTTGGAGTGAGTGAGGGCTAGTGTTGGACAGGATGAGAGCTAGAGGTGGAGTGGATGATACTTAGTGTTGGTGTGGATGAG